GAAGTCCAGACGTGCCTGACCGCGTCTCTGCAACTCTCGAAGGAGGAAGTACCTGACGTCGATGTGCTTCACTCTGCTCTCCAGTCGAGGCTCACGACACAGGAGAATCATCGCCTTGTTGTCAGCAAACAAGGTCGGTGCAGAGCTCGGCCGCTCACCAAGGTCAGTGAGCAAGAAGGTCAACCAGCGTAGCTCCTGTGCAGCAAGGGCTCCAGCGTAGATCTCGGCCTCTGCGGTAGAAGTCGCAACAGAGGAGGACCGAGTAGACCTCCACGAAACAGCTCCAGAGCCCAGGCTGAAATTGTAACCCTGCGTAGACCTCTGAGTCTCAACGTCGTCGGCGTACGAGGAGTCGCAGTGACCGGTGAGTACAACTGGCTGTGTCCCTCCAAGTACAAGCCCCATGTCTGATGTCGTGGCGAGGTACTTCGCCACCCTCTTAGCCGCCGTCCAGTGAACAGGACGGTGTCTCCCAGTCGCAACAAAGCAAGAAAGGATGCTAAGAGGGAAAGCGAGGTCCGGGCGAGTACACGTCATCAGGTACATGAGGCAGCCCACCAGCTCTGCGTAGGGACCACTGGGCTCGAACGGCTCGTCAGGAAAAGGCCCAGTGAGTCTGTGGTCTACAGCAAGAGGGGTGGGTGTAGGAGAAGAGTGCTGAAGCCCGAACCGCTGAAGGACCTGCTGCACCATGTGTGATTGAATCAGAGTGATGGTGTGAGCGGCTCTGTCCCTGGAAATCTGCAGGCCAAGGTAGCAGCGCAGTTCCCCAAGGTCAGTGCAGGTGTGTCTCTTCTGCAGCTCGGACTTCACCTCCGCCAGTGCAACTGTGTCGGCTGTGGCAAAAACCAAGTCGTCAACGTAGACCAGAACGAAGAAAGGTGTGCGCCCACGACGAACAAACAGTGACCGGTCGGCGAATGCCGGCTCAAACCCGAGGTCGGACAGAGTAGAGCGGAGAGTGTCGTGCCACTCACGGGGTGCCTGGCGGAGACCGTAGACCGGTCGTCTGAGGCTCCACTGGGTCCCAGGCGGGAAGGTGCCAGTGAAGCTAGAAGGACGACGCAGCCAGATCTCCTCGTGTAGGCTGCCCTGCAGGAAGGCAGTGGAGAAGTCGAGGGAGTGTAGCTCGTAGTCCCTCTGTGCCGCTACGTGAAGTAACACCCGAAGAGTGGTCATCTTCGGGGTGGGCGCGAAGGTCTGAAAGAAGTCAACCCCCTCGCGCTGACTGAACCCTCTAGCCACGTAGCGTGCCTTGAAGACTGGGGGAGATCCCGGCGGCCGCTTCACCTTGAAGATCCACATGCCGTCAACTATGTTCGCCCTTGGGGATGGAACGTCGTCAATGTAAGTGCCTGTGGACTTGAGGCCATCTCTGCGTCCATGGCAGCTCTCCACTGAGAGGCCCAAGGCCCTGACACTGCCTTAGCGTAAGTGCGAGGAGTAGGTATGTCAGGAGCGTCGGGGTCTCCCTCAGGAGCGAGGAGCATGATACAGAGATGTGGCGAAGCAGTTGCCAGGAACTCTAGCTCAAACTGTCTGTCCTCTAGGACGTCACAGCCAAGGGCAGACTCACCCCCGGCGGACAGAGGACGGACAGGAGGAGCGGCCACAACACGAAGTGGTGTAGTCTTGGCGACGCGTAGCAGTAAAATCAGTGACAGCGGTAGTGAGGACCGCGACGGAGGAAGGAGAGGCACGAGGGTCTGTAACAAGAGAGGCGAGAACACGAGAGAGAGTGGGGCGGTACGTGCGGTAGTAGTCAGAGACCGGAGTGGACAGGGAGGCAGTGAGGGACGACTCAGGAGGACGAGGAAGAACAGACGGAGGAGGACGAGGAGGACTAGGACGAAACAACACGGTACGGAGGTCAGTGACAGGTGACGAGGGACGAGCACGAGGAGGACGAGAGGCCCAAGTGTGGGCGAGATACAAGAGAGCGAGACGGAGGAGACTGAGAACAATGGAACACAGCCAGAGCTGAGTCCGGAGGAGGAAACGTAGGACCAAACACAGGAGGAGAGGAGGGGAGACCAAGGGCCCGAAGGCCAGAAACAGGGGCCGGAGGCTGCTCCGGCTGCTGCTGCTGCTGCTGCTGCTGCTGCTGCTGCTGCTGCTCCCGCTGCAACTCCAACCTCTCACGCTCCACCCGCTGCTGAACCTCCAACCTCTCACGCTCCAAACGCTGCTGCTCCTCACGCTCAAGACGAAGAAGGGTCTGGTAACGAGCCAGGTAGGGGTGAGGAGGAGACGAAGAAGAAGAAGAACCGACTCTGCCTTCGACAGTAGCCGCCTGAGCACCCCCAGAGCGAGTACCCCCTGCGGCAGCACGACCAGCACCTGTAGGAGGTGTACCCGCACCCCCAAACGTGGTGCCCCCAGTGGCACCAGCACCAGCCCCAGACTCTCCAGCTCCAGAAACACCACCAGCTCCAGCACCACCACCAGCTCCAGCACCCTCGGAACGGGCAGCTGCGGCAGGTGCACGCTCAGCGCCAACGCCAACACCCCCAGAACGGGCGGCTCCTGTAGGTGCACGAACAGCTCCAACGCCAACATCCCCAGAGCGAGCACTGCCAGATCCCTCACCTCGAGCACCAACACCCTCAGAGTCCGCATTGGTCGGTAAAGGAAGCGCTGACGGCTGCTGCGGAGGCTGTGAGGACGACTGTGGGGAAGGAGGAGAGACCTGGGGGGGTACCGAGGGGGGGGGGGGTAGCGTGGGACACACCAGACGGAGCGGGAACAGGGGGGGGGTACCAGAGGAGCAGGGGCGGGAGGAGGAGGAGCTGGAGCCAGGAAGAGGGGAGGGGGGGGAACCGGGAGACCTCGACAGGGGTACCGGACGTAGTAGGGGACGGACTCGTCGAAACGGACGTCACGAGAGTCAAAGAACCGGTGGGAGGGAGGGTGGTAAAAGGTGAAGTCAGAGGAGTCCTCTGGGAAACCAAGGAAGACACAGGGGACGGCGCGAGGTGAGATCTTGTCCGCAGAGGTGTCGCGGACAAGAGCCAAGCAGCCCCAGACACTAAACCTCGACGCAACACCAGGGGACCCTGTCCAAAGACTGGTCGGTGAAGCCCCTGGCCATGAGACGCGAGGCCAGAGGTTCTACTGGTGAGCGGCGTACCGAGCCGCGTAGGGCCACAGAAAATGGGGCGCACGGGCGTGGATCATGGAGGTGCGGGCAATCTCCATGACCAGGCCTAGGCGGCGCTCAGCAACCCCATTCTGCTGTGGAGAGTCTGGAAGAGTCCAGGACTGGGTGATGCCCTGTTCAGCACAGAATCTGGCGAGAATGCCGGAGCGAAACTCACCCCCACGGTCGGAGTGGAGACAACTGACACGACGACGGCGAGTACTCTCGGTGGCGAGCAGCCACCGGATCAGCGTAGAAGTCACGTCGGACTTCTTCGCCAAAGGGAACACGGTGGTGTACCGAGAGTAATCGTCAACGACCACCAGAAAGAAACTCTCCCGCTCAGGGCCAAGACGGAGAGCAGGGCCCCAGACGTCTAAGTGGAGTGTCTCAAAGGGCTCGGTGGCCGGACGAAGGGAGGAGGAGTGAGGGGTGGCACGCAGCCGACCCTAGACACAAGGACCGCACGGAGGAGCTGGGGACGGCGGGAGCGACGTAAGGACTCGGGGGAGGCCTAAGGCTGTTGGGCTGAGAAAGCCTTTAGGATCTTTACATGACCAAACTCCTGGTAAAGATGATGTAATAGCGGAAGCGTCTAATGAAGGATATTGAACCACCTAGCGCTGGTATGTGAGGGCAAAGTAGATTGATTATAGTAAGGAGATACAGGGCCTTTTATAGAGATATAGAGATATAACTAATAATTGTTTTGCTGTTGCTGTTGCGGTTCGATACAGCGACGACTCGGGCAACTGCTCAATAACGAGTCAGTTGTTTGTCCTTGCTGTCGCGCTGTACTTGTCAGGTCAAAGGTTGCTGACCTTTGACTTTCGCGTAACCTCCAGCTGTTGCTTCAACCTCCGAGGGTTGACTCACCGATGCTTTGTTATGTTTCGACTCGTTTATGACTTAGTGTTTCGACACTACAGAGGCGCATAAGTTACTTGTTTCCAACAAAGACAAGACGCTGACTGGACATAGCGCGGAGACGAGGGAGGGACGGGTGACCAAGGCGGTGGTGCCAGAGGAGGAAGGGGTGGGCAAGCGACCAACACGAGCACGACGCAACAACTAGACCGGACACAGCAACCTGACTGGACCCGGCTACCTGGTGGGACGGAGGAACCTGACGGGGGTCGGTGGTGAGGGTGTACGGACCGGAGCCCGGCTCCTGGCGAAAAGTGGCCAAGGGGGCGTACGTGTCACCGTCCACACAGACTGCAGTGTCACCAGAAGGCTCAACCCAGACCCATGCTGTCTCGCCAGGGGGCCCACACCAACCAGGTTCCTAGAGAAGGTAGAAACGTGGAGGCCAGTCAGGGAACCGGAAGGAGCAGCTGGGCACGGGAGTGCAGTGACGTGAGTCGCAATGACTGGTCCCGAAGAGGGATCGGCCAGTGCTATGGAGACTGGCGGGGCGCGCTGGCGTGACGCGCTGGCGGGGCGCGCTGGCGGGCCTGCTGGCTAGCGCGTTTAGGGCAGACGGGGGGGGGGAGGGGGAGGGGGGGAGTGGGGGGGCACACCAAGGCTAGAGACTAAGTCTAGTGAAAACAGTGGAATGATTGGATTGATCGAGTTGGGGTACAAATGCCTAACCCTAACTGTTTGTACCCCATATAGCATAACCCACTAGAGGCTATAACAATGGACAACGTCCTGCTCATGATACCATCTTAGAAAAGGTAGATTGAGAGAATGGTGATGCACTAGGGAAGGGAGCGGGTACAAGAAGAGTGTCGAGAAATTTACTGTACCCCCTAAAAGGTACTCCCAAACGTCTTCAGACCAGAAACCAGCAAATCATAATGCTAGCATGGCACACTAATTCCACCACTACGCATGTCGTTAAATCGCTAGCTGATCAATTGGAGTGAAGCAAGCAACTGAGCTCACCGATGCAAGTGAGCATGTCAGAAGACGGCACGAATCCTGCCATGCAACTGCAGTATGCAGTTCCCTTTGCATCCGTCTTGCACGTGCCACCGGGCCCGCATTCCACTGAACCACACATGTCTGCAACGAAGAGATAGTAGAAAAAAAGGAATGACGTTGAAAGGGAGACACACATTAAAGGGATGATGAATTTGGAAAGCCATGGCATCAGGTATGCCATGTGAGCATCATGCTGGCGATTTCAGAAGCTGCCAAGCAATCATGTGCCAGCATGTGAGCATCATGCAGGCAATTCCTACTCCTACTACCATGAACCAGTGGATTACAATGTCGTTGTCCCAGATCTTGGCTGGGTGGGTGCCCTTGTGATATGCTACTTACACCACTCCCTTTTGATGTATTGCTTTGCTGAACAACTGAACCAACTGAGCTGAGCTCACCAATGCAAGTGAGCTTGTCAGAAGACAGCTTGAAGCCAGTGCTGCAATTACAGGCGGGACTTCCGACCGCATCCGTCTTGCACTTGCCGCCTGGCCCACACTTTACTGAAGCACACTTGTCTGCCATGAAACGGAAATCCACATAGAAGGGACCGGTGATGTTTGAAAATCATGGAATCAGGTCATGATGCAACGCAATCCCAGCAGCATGCTGACCAATTCAGAAGCCAAAGGCACTGGAGCTGCCAAGCATGCATGCAATCAGTGATGTGATTCTCACTCCCAATATCATACTGTGAGCCACTAAATCAAGAAGGTAATGTCCCCAGTTCTTGGGTGCAGGGCAGCATAACATGATACTTTCACCATGCCTTATTCTAGTTATATGACCCTATGGACGATGAGCAAGCGCACAGCAACTGACCCATTGAACTCACCAACGCAAGCATCATTGCCTGGAAGCCTCTCAAAGCCCTTGATGCACTCGCAAGTTGTATTCCCGTTTGCATCCTTGACGCACGTTGAGTTGGCCTTGCAAGTCCGCAACTCGCACTTATCTGCAGCGCAAGCGAATTAGGAAAGGAGCAATAGAGATCGGTGAAGAATGGAATGGAGGCCGTGGGAGGAGAAAATAATCACACATGAGAAATGAGGCGCGTAGCATTGGCAAGGAACGTCACTCTATGCAGGTTGCACGTTGCAGCAAGAGCACAGCACATGAAACACAAGGTAGGCTGAACGAACCAAGGGAGGTGTAACAGTGCTTGCTGAGCAGATGCATTCATGCACTTCAGGCCCACCACCAATAAATCCATGCAATCGCACTCGCTCCAGGTGCCAGTGCGTGAAACTCACCAACACAAGTGATCCTGTCGGGAGGCATCTGGAAGCCAGCGTTGCAAGCACAGGTGGCATTTCCATTTGCATCCTTGATGCACTTGCCGTTGGGTCCACAATTCACAAGGGTACATTGTTTCGTTCTGGTTCAGGACAACGGCATGAAGAGATGGGAACCTAGTCCCAGCCCTCTGCCTTCAGCCCTCTGCCCACCTTCCCCAGCTATATAAGGGCCTCTTGGCCTTTGCTCTTCTCATTGTTTCGTTCTGGTTCAGGACAACGGCGAGGCCGCCGGCGCTCGCGTGCGCCGCCTACCGGCGGCGCGTTAGGGAATGGCAAGACCACAATGACAACGTAGTGTGCATAGGCATGCAGACAAAGGAATATATTAGGACGACATGGCAACCAGCTCGGTGCCTACCGCACTATGCTACCGCAGACGCACACGGCCTACAACCACCGCGTCACTCCCGTCTGTTCTAGCAGCTGCATCGTCAGCCCGTCACCAAGACGGAGTGCTGACACGAGCCCGTTTATCACGTCTACAGCTGAGCGTGACTGCACTTGGGAGCCCACGCCTTCCATCTCGGCGTCCGCCTCCGCTGCCGACAAGGGCTCCCCCACGGGCTCTTCCTCAGCGATCTCCATCTCATGGCGGAGGAGCCACGCACCGTCCCGACTGGCCATCAACTGCGCATGGCCCATCGTGCACGCCGCCAGAGGCACGCGGCTCAGCGACACGGCAGCGCCCCCACAACTGCATAGTAGGTGCGCATATGCCACAGGCGCACAAGCAGTTGCGTCTCAACCTCCAGCGCGCGGGGAGCCCCAGCGCCAAGACGGGACAACCGATCCAACACAATGCGGCCACCAGGGCGGCGTCGGGCGGGGGAGCACCGCGACCGGGGCTCAGTGGACACCCCTTCCCCCGCCGCTGTCGCCACTGCTGCTGCCTCCCCCCTCGCTGGGTGGTCGTGTGGATTGGCTGGAGGTACCTGTGGAGGAGGCGCAACTCCCTGGGGCGGCCCCACCGCAGGCGGCTCGCCCCGCGCGCCAATCCCCGGCTCCACTAGCGGCTGGAACACAGGAGCCCCTCCAGTCGGGGGGACGCGCCACACCCCCGGGACCGCGTGGGGAGGAAGTCGCACCACCATTGGTGGTTCTAGCGGCGCAAGAGGGAGTGGCTGAGGCAGGAACTCATGGGGATGCCGAAGGGACCGCGGGAACACTGCCGGCTCACGAGAGGAGGCTGGGAGCACATTCGCGGGCGGACCAGCGGGCGGCGGCGGATGCGGATGAAGATCCAGAGGAGGGGGCAGCTGATCAACCGTGGGTACTACAGGGGCCGTCGGTCTGCCCAGTTCGCGTATCATACTGCCCAACGGTGCCAGGGCGCGCTCAACAGCCGCAGTTGCAGCCGCGGTCGCCGCTTCTGCTGCAGGGTCCGGCTGCCGGGCCCTCTGCGCCCATCGGCCACGGCCAGAACGTCGCGAACGGGACTGACCGCCCCCGCTCCCGCGATTGCGCGCAGGAGGAGACGGGCGACGAGGAGATGTCGGGCACGAGGAGACACGACGGGGAGATGCCGCCTGAGGAGAACGGCGCCGTGGGGACGACGCCCGACTGCGCGAACCGCGCTCCGTCGCGGGCCACAGAGCAGGAGACGGAGACGGAAGACGCGACGGCGGCGGTTCCTGCCGCTCGCCATGCAAACGCGACGGCGAACGCTCGCGGCCGCGAGTTCGCGGCCCCGCCATCGTCAAATAGGGGGATGGGTCGTCAATGGTGGACCCGGGGTGGTCGCTCAACGCCGCGCCAAGATCTGGCCGCTCCAGCGCTACGCCCGGCGTCAGCGCCAGAAAGAGGGGGCAGGGGACGCGGTGGCGCAGAGGCAACCGGACGGCGTGGACGCGCTCGTGGCACTTCTGGCGGACGGAGAGGTGGTGGCAGCTTCGTCGGGGCTGTGCACAGACTACTAAGGCAGGAGACTCGTCAGAGGGGGGGCGCCACGGGAGAGAGCGTACGAGAGGAGAACGTGAACATCGGAAATGACGACTCAGATCTGGGTGACTCGACCTTCCCTGAAATGGAGGGGAGACCGGAGCCATCGACAGAGGATGAGTTTGAAAGGGCAGATGGGGAGGGTCGCCAAAATTCAACCGGAACACCAGGTCGAGCCTTCAGGCCACGAATCCAACCCTCCCCCAATCGAGCCGCCAATGTCAGCACTGGCACAACTGGCAACCCTGGAGGGGTTGTGGCGCCAGAGAGAACCCCAAATCCGCTGCTGTCCCCTCGCCAATTGGCTGAGGCCTCAGCGAAATTCGCTGACATTGCCTCATGGGACACCCTCCTGCTACGCGATTCCCGCCAACCACCCCTGGCACGATATTTCCCCCGCAGCATCCGCGACACCTTCGCCACATGTCTTCTGACTCCCCTACTCCGATTGGCCCGCGATCCTGACTCCACGGAGGCATGGACACTGCTTCTCTTTCTCCCCCGCTTGACTCTGCGTGCCTCCTCATCAAGGAAGCCTGACTGGAACGCGATCTCTGCACGCCTGCTCCAGTTTCGCCGAGGCCACTGGCGCGAACTCTACGAAGCAGCGTGTGAGGCAGTCAACCTCGATCCTCCCGCACGCCACGTGGCTGACGACCTCGGGAAACTGGCACGCTCGACAGCCCTAGCAAAACGCGGAAGCCTTGCGAAATCCCTCCAGGCACTCGAAAGCACACCTGTTAGCGAGGCGAGCCCGCACACGCTGGCAGCCCTCCGATCCCGCCACCCGTCAAGCAGCATCGGCCTTCCATCATGGCTTCCCTCCTTCGAGACAACTGCCTCCCCCACCATCACACTCCAAGACCTTCGACGCATCCTATCCTCATGCAAGAATGGCGTGGGCGCAGGGCCCAGCGGGATGACGTTCGAGCACATCCGCGAGGCCGCACTCCGCAGCCCTGACGTAGCCGAGCATCTCCTAGCGCTCATCAATACCGGCCTAGCAGGGAAAATAACACGCCCCGTGGCTGAGCTATTGACCGCCTCACGCCTACTGGCGTTCTCTAAGCCGGACGGAGGAACGCGTCCCATTGTCGTCGGCGAGGTCATCCACCGCCTCATCGCCAAAGCCGCCCTCCTCCTCGCCGCTCCCTACGCTCGCCGCCACTTCGCGCCTCTGCAGTACGGTGTTGCGACACCGGGCGGCGCGGAGGCTATCATCCACGCAACTCGTACCTACCTGGAGGAGAACCCTGACCACCTGGCCCTTCAGCTCGACATCAGCAATGCTTTCAACGCGGTCGAGCGGCAGGCGGTCTTCGAGGGTCTCCGAGATATGCCCCTCGCGTTCCTCATCCCATTCACCCGCACCTCGTATGGCGCGCAGTCCTCCCTCCTCATCGACCGCGCCTTCAACGCCCCCGACTTGAAGTCCTCGAGGGGGGTCCGACAAGGCGACCCCATGGGCCCCCTCCTTTTCGCCGCCGCCCTCCACCCCGCCCTCAAAGCAGCCGCTGCTGCGCACCCATCAGTCGTCGTGCTCGCATACGCTGACGACGTGACACTGTTGGGACCCCGCGCCGACTGCTCAGCTGCTTTCGAAACACTCACCTCCGCCATCGAGCCTCTGGGTTTGAGCCACAACCCATCGAAATGTGCTGCCTGGACACCCGCAACGGGCCCACTGCCTGACATCCCACACGGCGTCCCCTACTCGGTCTCAGGCCTCAAGGTCCTGGGCAGCCCTGTGGGACCGGCTGCCGCGTGCGCTGCCTTCCTCCGTGACTGCCTCGCAACTGCCGTGTCTCCCTCTGCGCTCCTGTCACAGCTCGACCCCCAAACCTGCCTTCTACTGCTCACAAGGTGCATCAGCCGCCGCGTGTCGTACCTACTGCGCTCGACGCCGCCTGAGCTGCTGGCGGAGGAGGAGTGGTCAGGATGGGGCAAGGGCAACTACCGTACTTACCTCTCCTCCGCCTCTATCCCAGTGCCGCGGCTACGGGCCGAGCAGCTACGCACCTGGCGACAGGCTTCGCTTCCTGCCACGCTCGGAGGCCTCAACCTCACCGACCCCGCAGTGGAACGCTTCCCAAGTTACCTTGCTTCCACTGCGGCGTCCGTGCACCTCCTCGGCCGACCTGCGACCTCTCACCCAAGCATCCTCACTCTCCTCCCCCTCTTTTCCGCGGACGACACCAGCAGCTGCGCCCTCCCACAACGGCTTGCAGTCGCGGAAGCTGCGGTGCCGCAAGAAGGTCTCACCCTGCTTTCCCGTTTACGGGAAGGAGAGGATCTGAACAAAATCCAGCGCTCCATCTCTTTGCACGTCCAGGCGGAGCGGTATACCGTCATCCTCGAAGAGAGCCGACAGCTCGACCTCAACCCCCTTTCCGGCCACACTCAGCGTCTCCAATCCCTCCTGGGTTCAGGCGCGGGGGACTGGCTCTCTGCGATCCCGCTCACCAGCTCACTCACCCTGTCGCCACCTCACCACGCCTCTGCATCTGCATTCCGCCTTAGACTGCCTCAGCTCGTGCCTGGCAACTGCGACTGTGACAAGCAAGTCGAGATCCCAGACCCGCGTCTGCCTAACCACCTCCTTCGGTGCGGAACGGGGAAGGGTCGCACAGGCACACACAATGCCCTCCGCGACGAATGCGCGAGCATCGCAGCCGAGGCAGGGTTCGCCGTGCTGGTGGAGACGACGGTGTACACACCAGTCGAAGGACTGAAGGCGGACATCGCCATTCGTCACCCGGATACGTCGGCGGTCTGGCTCTGCGACATCACTGTCACAGACCCCATCTCCCGCCAGGACCCTCTGGCAAGAAGAGCGCCCGGCACCGCTGCCACCATTGCGGCCCGGGGCAAGGAACACAAGTACCGCAACCGAGCAGCATGGGTCGGCTTCCTTGCCATGGCCGTGGAGACATATGGGTACTGCTCTCCTGGAGTGCTGGAGTTCCTCCGCCTGTGCGCCAACCTCGCCGCTAAGCGCCTCCACAACGCCGAGCCGTCCTCGAGGGAAGCAGCAAAAATTTATCACTCCTACCGGCAGCGCTTCTCAATCACGCTCCAACGCGCGCAGGCAACTGCGCTAGCTGCCAAGACCTTGACGGCATTTACGGCCGGGTCGGACCCCACGGCCTTCCAGGGGGAGGCCCTGAGCACGGGAGATCTCATGCACGTGCTCGAGCCCGAGCTCGAGATGCCTTAGTTTTACCTTGCCTTGCTTGTATGGCTGTATTACAAATGTGCTGTACTATCCTGCTTATTCAATGAAGGACCATTCAAGAGTACATTTATCTGCAATGGAAGAAAGGGGCCATAGAAGCAAGCAAGAACAGTGAGATTGCGATGGGTCCAGAGGGAAATGCATAGCAGGAACGCATTCATTCATTGTTTGGCTGAACGGAAAGTCAAAGCACACACTTGACTTGACAACGCCAAGTCAGCTGAGCTGAAGAGAGTTCAAAATAGGCTAGAATGAAGCTCAAATTCAAGCTCATTGGCACATTATTGGTTGCTCTACTCTGCAGTCGCTTTTCTGGAAACCGGGGTTTTATCTTACGTGCTGAGGAGCCACTACACTCAACTCACCAACACAGGTGTTGTTGCTTGCAGAAGCATATTGAAAGCCCTTGTTGCAAACACAATTCGGGACCCCGTTCGCGTCCCTCACACAACGGGTGTTGGCCAAAACACAGTTGAGATTGCACTTGTCTGCAATGGAAGCAAGTTCGACCAAGGATAGTAAAAAAGAGGGAAACACTCAATAGAACGTTCTGATAGGTTGAAAGGATAGCAACAAAAATGCAAAATCCAAAGGCCGGCCAGCTGTGGAAAATCAAAAACAATTTATGCATGCTCCTCTTCTCAGAGCAGTGCTCGTATTCTCGCAAGCACAGTCCTTGTGCACCTCGGAAATCACAGCTTTGCACAGCACCATACCTTGGCAGGTGCCGTTGATGCCAATATAGCCCTTGTCGCACTTGCAGGTGACTACCCTGTTGTCGTTTGTGCTCGCACACACAGAGTTGGCCGGGCATGTGGCATACTTGCACGCTGTGGAGGAGGCTGCACACAGGAGGAGCAGATTCAAATTGGACTCTCTCTCTCTCTCTCTCTCTCTCTCTCTCTCTCTCTCTCTCTCTCTCTCTCTCTCTCTCTCTCTCTCTCTCTCTCTCTCTCTCTCTCTGTGCCAAACCACAGTAATTCAGAAATTCTGGGCCAAGTGAATCAGTTCTATTGCCGGGGTTGAAAGGCAGAAAGAGGAGAAAGGCAGCAAGGGGTGAAATGCAGCAAGGGGTGAAAGGCAGCAAGGGGTGAAAGGCAGCAAGGGGTGAAAGGCAGCAAGGGGTGAAAGGCAGCAAGGGGTGAAAGGCAGCAAGGGGTGAAAGGCAGCAAGGGGTGAAAGGCAGCAAGGGGTGAAAGGCAGCAAGGGGTGAAAGGCAGCAAGGGGTGAAAGGCAGCAAGGGGTGAAAGGCAGCAAGGGGTGAAAGGCAGCAAGGGGTGAAAGGCAGCAAGGGGTGAAAGGCAGCAAGGGGTGAAAGGCAGCAAGGGGTGAAAGGCAGCAAGGGGTGAAAGGCAGCAAGGGGTGAAAGGCAGCAAGGGGTGAAAGGCAGCAAGGGGTGAAAGGCAGCAAGGGGTGAAAGGCAGCAAGGGGTGAAAGGCAGCAAGGGGTGAAAGGCAGCAAGGGGTGAAAGGCAGCAAGGGGTGAAAGGCAGAGTGGAAGGGCTTACAGAATGAGCAGTGAATTGACGCGAGTGGGCTGAATGGTTTGATGGACGGCGGGTTGCTGCTGCTTGGGTGAAGAAAGAAAAGAAACACAAGGTGCAATGCAAAACAGCTTTCAGCCATGGTCTCGTCACATCTCATCGTTTCCCGCCTTCTCTAATCCCATCCAATTTCACCCCGTTCAACCCCAGCCATGCAATCCCCTCCCTCCCACCACTCCCCCCCAACCCCTTCACATTTCCCTCCTCCCGCAACCCACCCTTGCTTTGCAATTGCCTGGTCTCATACACATCACCCACGCAGCTCCATGGCACGGCCTTGCACGCGCATGGACCTGGAGTAAGTACATGAGCTGCATGACACTGCCGTTGCACCTGCTTCCCAGGTAGACACGTGATAAAAAAAGTGTTTTGAGACGTCTCAAAACACGTGAGAAAAAGAAGTGCTTTGCGACATCTCAACGCACAGCGCGCACGGACCTGGAGAAGGAGTACATGAGCTGCATGACAGTGCCGTTGCAGCTGTTGCCCGGGTAGAACCCCAGCGTGGTGCACGGCGCGTTCCACTGCACGGTGACAGGCGTGGCGACGCCAGCGGGCGCGGTGGCGGCGGGCACGGTGGCGCAGCGCGAGGAGGGGTCGAAGGCGACCTTGTAGGCGCCCACTGCCACGGCCGTCGCCACCACCACCCTCGCCGCCACCTCCGTCGGCCACCACGCAGCGTCTCCGACTGGTGACAGGGAGGGCAGGGAGGGCAGGGAGGGCAGGGAGGGCAGGGAGGGCAGGGAGGGCAGGGAGGGCAGGGAGGGCAGGGAGGGCATCGATGACACCACGCGATGTGATGCAGGGAGGGCGCGGGCAGAGCAGCACGGGGAGGTGAGGGAGTCAACAGAGTGAGAGAGGGACAGAGAGAGAGATAAGACTCGTGGCTCGTGAGGCATGAGGCAGCTACTGAAACTGCCCTGGCGGAGTGAGCCGTGATGCTGCAAGCGTGTGCAATGCAACGCGGCGATGCTCTTACTGCAGCGCTTATTGTGGCGTACTTTGGCTAGTGCCATTGTAGGGACCGAAGCCCTGCAGCTCATGCAACTACAGGCACTCAAGTGACCGGCACTCTAGTGGCAGGCACTCTAGTGACTGGCACACTAGTGGCAGGCACTCAAGTGACCGACACTCAAGTGACCGACACTCAAGTGACCGAGCAAAGGAAGCACGCGAGAGAGCAAAGGCTGGTTAATCACGATGTCTCATTTCATTATAGCTTAAATCGCGATCGCTTTCACTGCCAACTCGTTAGTGGAATCGCGGCATTCCGCCGCGCCTAAAAAAACACCCTTGTTTCGAGAGCCTGTGGGTAGCGAGGTGTTATAGCACAGGCCGCACTGTACCCCTCTCCACCCCACCCGCGCCACGCCATGGCACAGGCGCGACGCTGACCTTAAGGGCTTGGCGACGGACGACGCGACGACCCCGGTGCAATCAGCGCCGGTCAGGAAGGTGACGTTCTCGCACGCGGGGAGACCGGCGGCGGCGGCGGCGGCGGGCGTCCACTGCACGGTGGCGGAGGAGGCGGTGGTGGGCAGGTTGGTGCAGCGCGCCGCCGTGAAGTTGAACGCCAAGGTGCTGCCCACCGCGATCGCCGTCGCCACCGCCGGCGGCGGCGTTGCGGACACGTCCGTGAGCATGTTGTCTTGGCCGCATGCCCCGCGGATGACGTCACTGGCTGCAGGGGAGGGCGAGCAGGGACGAGAGGGACAGAGCAGAGCGGGGAGTTGGTTGGTGCGGTATGGCGCTGGTCGGCCCGTTTTAATCGTCTCCTCCAGTCGGATTCAGCGGCCCAGCGCGAACGCGAATGGCGCTCTCAAGCATGTCGAGTGACGCGGAGAGCGCATGCGGAGAGCGGATGCGGAAAGAAGGCGATGTGACTTGGGGGCGGTGGGCACAACTAGGCAAGGGACGGAGAGCACACCAGCGACCGGAATGCGCACACACAACAGGCACTCGCGGGGCGGCACGGGTGGTGGGCTGACCGAGAATGAGGGCGAGCGCGAGCAGCGCGAGCAGCGCCGGAAAGCCGCCCATCGTGGCGAGCGGAGCGGAAAACCGATCGGCGCAGCGGAGAGGCGCGGCGGAGAGGCGCAGCGCAGGTGACGGTAGCGATGGTGGATGGCAGTGGTTGGCGCGATATGGGCGCAGATTCGCCGACGATGGTTGGGCAGAATGAGGGGCGGCGAGATAGTCTCGCAGAGAGAGCGACGGCGAGATGGGACCACAGAGAGAGTGACGGCAAGATGGCACAAAAGAGGCACTTTACGAGGCTCCATGGCTGCTGTGAGCTGGCTCTTTGAAGTGCGAGCTCGGTGCTACCCAGCCGCTGCGAGGCGAGGAAGGTTGTGCAACGCGGTAGTGTGGCGGGAGAGGTGGTCCCAAAGAGAGCGGGCAATGCGGTGGGGAGTTCAATGGGATGTGATGAAACGCGAAAAACCGTTCGATGCGAAACGAGGGTTTGGGGACATCTCAGGTAAATGTATCGTATTAAACCGTTGATTTTCGCCCTGAAAAGTTTTTCATAGATCGGTACCGAAGTGTTCTCATGAGTAGAATTTTCCAGGAGGTAGCGAGACGTTTTGCGCCCTGAGGGAGTGTCCGGCTATTCAGATTTCAGTACAGTAGCTAGGGTCGAAAGCAATTCACTCGTCAGAAAGGATTGGTGAAGGATGGAAATGGCTCCAGCACGCCAACAATTGGTGGCAGGTAGATACCTACTGATGTAACCCTCAGCTGTAGGTCGTAGCAACTTCGATTATTTCCCCTTCCCGTTCAAGAAGGTGAATACGCCCCTTCCAGTGGGCTGAACGCGATCCAACATGGTGTAAGTGTAAGGAATTGTAATTCCTTACTGTACTCGCATTTTAGCGAGTACAATCCGAACACCACGCGTCAGCCCGGTTCGGCCTACATTTCCGCCCCGAACCACCTCCGAGTCGCCACCGCTCCAATCGCAACACTTTCCGAGCCATCCTAGCCCGAACCCTTCGCCTAGCTAGGATTCTCTTTATAATTTCGCGTCACTTTCATTGTATCGTCATTCAGTAGTCATTCATTCTCGATATTCGTTTTACTGCGCACTCTGCAAGTTCATTCATAACACCTGGTATCAGAGCTACTTTCCTAGCCTACCCCGCTTTTTAGAGTGTAATACCCCTCGGGGGGGGGACGAGGAAGGATGTCTTGGGGTCCAGGAGTTGCGTAGGCCGGCCAAGAGAACGGGTTAGTTGCTCTTCGCGGCCATGGTTTTACGGGGCACTCCTTCGGCACCGCCAGATCCTTGCCTCGAACGGTCGCGATCGACCGTGACCTCCCTCCCCCCGGGCAACGGACAGCTGGAGCTGTCGCGACTTGAAAACGTGAGTTATTTCCGCTGCGTCGCGACGATTTCGGAGTTATTTTCGTGTGGCAGCTGGCGTCAGCGGATCTGCGTCGGCACCTGCACGAAATTTTCGGAGTCGTCGTCCTGTGCGGCAGTTGGCGTGGTTGTTCGTCAACGTGCACGCGAGAATTTCGGAAGAAGCTACTGTTGAAGAAAAAACAAGGGACAACTGTACGGACTCGCCAGGCGCTAAAGTAATTGCGTCGGGAAAAGTCTGTGACGAGGAGAGACGCCACGACGACTGCCCGACTATTGCGGGAGTCAACTGCCGTCCCGCCCGACCGTTTAAGTGCAGCGGCTTTTACTGCATGGCGGGCGCGTCACCGACGATTTCGGCAGGAGCGCATGTGGACAGACGGGACTTCATACTCGCCGACACTTACAGGCTGCAACGAAAAACCGGAGTGCCTAAATCGCGCTCAATAGGAGTGGGACGCAGGCGGCGAGGGCAATTCGGGCCCATACACCCCGAAGAAATCTCGCATGACGCTGCGTGCCTGGTACTGTTGACAGCTGGCCGGCCGTTTCGAGAGTGGTTTCCCTGTAAGGAACACATTTTCGGGGACAGCTGCAGCAGCCCACGGTTCAACGGCGTTTAAAATACCACCCCGACATTACGGCGGAGAGTGGTAAGGCCGCCGGGACACACGGACAGAAACTGCCCGACGGCTAAGCGGGGGTTGGAGAACGACGAAGGGAGCAGGTTAAAAGCCGGTGGAAACGACCTGCCGCCCTCCGTCGCCCGAACCTCACCATCCCCACCAAGTCTTGGTTCCGGCTCATGCAGCCGACCTGACCTGGCCGAATAACGGGGGTGAACACGTGCCTACCCTGTGCTGGTTAAAGGCACCTGGTTTGGTGCTCGTTCGACAGCTGTACGAAAATACCAAAAAAAGGGGAGCTCGCGGCACTGTTTTACTCCGACAAAAGCGGGCTGGGTGAACGGCACGCAAAAAAGTCGGGGAGCTGCGACGAAAACAGCGGTGCAGTCTACGGTTTCCTCCTGACCTGAGCATCTACTCGGATTGACGGCGCAGCGGCGATGTTGGGACCCGGTACCAGTGAAGCTACGTGGCGTGATAGGCGCGGTGGGCTGCAAAGCGGTTGGGTGCTAGCTTTTTAAATAAAACTGCCCCGACTCCGATAGCATTTGCGCTTTCACCGTAGCCGGATTATCGCGCGGGGAACTTCAAACTTATACTTCAACCGGCAGACGCGGACGCTGGGTGAACGGCGATTTCGCGATATTGTCGGGGAGTCGAAAACACCCAAAAAAAAGGAGAGCTTTGCCCTTATACTTCAACCGGCAGACGCGGACGCTGGGTGAACGGCGGTTTTGCGATATTGTCGGGAAGTCGAAAACTAAAAAAATGGGAGCAGTCGAAGTTTCAAGACTTACCTGCCGGCAACGAGCGATGGGTGGCACATCTGCAAAGCGCCGGTGGGAGAAAGGTGGTAATTTGTTAAGCAGCATCGGCAGGGGCAGTTCGACAACGAGGTTGACGGCGTTGAGGCGCGCTAGGCTCCGTGAACGACGGTCTCGGAATAACCCAGGGCAAGTCCCCGGTTCCCGATTATACCCGCATGCTGGGTTCGGGTGAACTGACGGAAACTACTGGTGACCGAGTGGGCGGCTACGTTACGACCGAAAATTTCGGAGGAGAACTACACCTGCAGCCAAGAATTTACGGGGGTTGCGACACCGACAATTACGGAGTTTAACGGAAGAACTTATCGGTTTACGGCGGGGAGCGCCGACATTTTCGGTGGATTTCTTGGCGTTTGGTTGAACGCGCGTGACAACGACGTGAGACAACATCACGGGACCTACACAGAGTTTTTCAGGGGTACGAACGACATTCGACGAACTGGAGGTGGCAGCAGCAACAGTGGAAGGGGGGAGAGACAGCTGGAATTTCTTTATCTCTGCCCAGGAATTATCGGCGCATTACGACAAACTCCTCGGCGAGTCTGGACAAACTGCCGGGAGTAGCTGACATCATCTGACACTGATGAAGTGTTCAACATTTTCGACCGGGGCGACATTCGTCGGGTTACTTTTTCGACAACCATCGCCGACAATCGTATTCGACTTCGCCATCAATCATCTTCATCGCCAACATTTTCGTACCACCCCCGATTTCACTGCCAGAGGATTTTGGGACGGACATCCAACTCTACTAACAACAATTCACCCAACTCGACCCACTCACAACAAACGATTCGATTCTGCCCACGTCAGGTGCTGCCAACTGCAACTGCTGAAGATACTGCAGGATTCTGGCACGTGAAGACAGAACAGGTTCATTTCGAGCAAACGTGTAATTTCCGTCGCGGTTTCTGGTCTACTGCTGCTGGTTTACCCTTGGAGAATTTTGGGCCACTTAACACCTGGTTTCGTCACCATTTTCCCACACCGACACCCTTTCGCCTCGGCATCCCTGCTTTTATGTGCGACTTAACGGCTGGTTTTGTTTGTTTTCTCACCTCGGCGCAGCTGTGAAAGTTTTGTGACGGTTTTCTTGGAGGGGGGGAGAAAGTGCGCTGCACTGTTTTCCTTCGGCGATTTCTCGGCACAACATTCTGACTTTGTCAGAATGCGTCAGCACGACGTACGACTGCGATTGCCTTCAGCAAAATCGATGGTCCCTGTACATCGCGACTGATCACCGCGTCAGCAGGTTCCCCCCAAGTTCGCGTCATAGTCGACCGTCAGATCGAGTTCAAACTGCATCAACGGCTCCAATTCCAACTTTCAGTTCGTTTTCGTCAGAGCTTTTCGCGTCCGTCAGATCAAAATCTGATTTCACCTACGGCCCAGATTCCAACCTCACTTCAATTTGGTCAAGACCATCTCCATCCGTCAGATTGAGAACAACCTTCATCAACGGCCGACATTCCAATCATTTCAGTTTAAATTCGCCAAGGCATTTCAACCGTCAGATTCAACTACACTGGAGATCAACGGCAGCTTCGTTATTGAGGGACACGTCTAGTTATGAGGCGGTCATGTTAGGAAGGTGGGAGAGTGTAAGGAATTGTAATTCCTTACTGTACTCGCATTTTAGCGAGTACAATCCGAACACCACGCGTCAGCCCGGTTCGGCCTGTCAGAATCCCAGCCACTAACCACTGGGATAAAAGGGCTTGTTTGTGTAGCGGGTGAGTGCGCCCATAACCCCCCAGGCCGCCATGCCTGTAACCCTTCCCTAGGATCAATCGGGGATCACCAGTGGACCTCTGACACCCCCCCGCACTGGGATGCCCGAGGTGCACACACCGGGATTCGAACCCGAGACCTTCGCTCTGATAACATGTCAGAATCCCAGCCACTAACCACTGGGATAAAAGGGCTTGTTTGTGTAGCGGGTGAGTGCGCCCATAACCCCCCAGGCCGCCATGCCTGTAACCCTTCCCTAGGATCAATCGGGGATCACCAGTGGACCTCTGACACGGCCTACATTTCCGCCCCGAACCACCTCCGAGTCGCCACCGCTCCAATCGCAACACTTTCCGAGCCATCCTAGCCCGAACCCTTCGCCTAGCTAGGATTCTCCTTATAAATTCGCGTCACTTTCATTGTATCGTCATTCAGTAGTCATTCATTCTCGATATTCGTTTTACTGCGCACTCTGCAAGTTCATTCATAACAGTAAGGGAGTCAAACAACGAGAGAAATTTGGGAAAGTGTTACGAGTGCAATCAAGTGAGCTAGCTAGAATTGCAGAATCTAAACAAAACAGTATAGCAATCATGAATGAACTTGCAGAGTGCGCAGAATATTGTAAGGAATTACAATTCCTTACTGTACTCGCACTTTAGCGAGTACATCCCGAAGGACACGCGACGAACCTGTTCGGCCTAATTCGTCGCACTGAACCCCTCCCGATTCGGCTCCACACCAATCGCAACCATCACCGAGCCATCTTCGCCCTACCTCTTCGCCTAGCTAGGATTTCCCATATTTAATCGTGCCTTTCTCATTGTTTTGTTATCCTGTAATTCTCATTCTCGTTATTCGATATTCTGCGCACTCTGACAAGTTCATTCATAACACCTGGTATCAGAGCTACTTTCCTAGCCTACCCCATCGTTTAGAGTGTAATACCTCTCGGGGAGGGACGAGGTGTTGGGCTGAGACAAGCCCTGAGGATCTTTACAAGGCTAAACTCTGGGTAGGACTTGTTGCGAATGTGGAAGTGTTTATTAGAGGAATATTGAAGCACCCTGTTAAAATCGGAAGTGTTGTTTCATTAATGTGGTTGGGGTACAAGTAGCAAACCCTAACATACGTACCCCCTAAGACACATCTCACTACAGGCTACCAACATTTGACACACCCCCATAGCCTAAGTGAGGGGTGTCTAGCAAAACCAAAAGAGTACGGTCACAAGACCAGTCACAAAGAAACAAAGCTCAGGGTGGATCACAACGTCACCACAAACTCTGAGCACAAGCAACAATGGCCACAAGGCCAGTCCAAACAATAACAGAGATATATAGAAAGGGTACAAGCAAAGCAAGCAGTGAACTCAAGACTAAGTAAGCCGAAAACCAGTGTCAACAAGGCCTAACTGCACACAACACCTGTGGTGGTCACAAGGCGGAAGCGCCTTGGTAAAGATGTCTGCAGTGTTGGCCTCAGACTCCACAAACTCGAAGCGAGCCTGTCCACGCCTCTGCAACTCTCGCAGAAGGAAGTACCTGACGTTAATGTGCTTCACTCTGCTCTCCAGTCGCGGCTCTCGACAAAGGAGAATGGATGCCTTGTTGTCAGTGAACAAGGTCGGTGCACGAGACGTCTCTCCAGGCCCTGCACTCCCACCACCGCCAGTCGCAACGCCACCCCCACTACCTCCGCCTCCACCAACGCCGCCGCCAGCACCGCCCCTCTTGCCACCCCTACCGCGGGACCGCGACGAAGTCGTAACAGCAGCTGCGAGGGTGGCGAAGTACCTAGCGACGACATCAGGCGTGGGGCTAGTACCTAAGCTAACAACACCAGAGTAAACAGAGTCAGAAACACTAGAGTCAACAACAGCATACATAGCATGAGGAGTTCCAATCAGATCAGCTAACTGCTCAGCAGACATGTCCCACAGAGCGGAACCGTAACGCTGAACAAGGGGAAACCAGTCAGGGGCAGGACCGCCAACCCCGTAAACCAAACGAACCGTGTCAGTGAGCTGAGCAAAACACTGACCAGGGGGGTGAAGGCGGCCACAAGGGTGGCCCCGGCGAGCACCTGTCAGAACCTGATAGGCGCAGGGAGGGTAAACAGCACCACGCTGCGGCTGACGCGGCCCCGACCCCGAAGCCAGCTGCGGCCGCTGCTGCTGCGGAGGCTGCTGGGAGGAGAGGGGCTGCTGCTGCTGCTGAAGCTGCTGCTGACGCTGGGCCCGGTACCACGCCGCTGCTCCACCCACCGGGGCTGGCAGTACAGGGGGCGACTGACGAACGCGGGCGTCGCCACCACCAGCAGTCGCAGTGGAGTCACCGGTCGCTGCACGAGACGTCTCTCCAGGCCCTGCACTCCTCCTCCCTTCGTCTGGCCACCGAGCCGTTTGAGACGCTTCACCTGGACGTCTGGGGCCCCGCCTCTCGCCTTGGCCCTGAGCGTGAGCGTTTCTTTCAGAACTTACTAAATTTTGGTGTAATGCACAGAAAAATCGTATAAGGGGCTTTATTTTGAATTCGGTAAATGGAGGTTATGCTGTAGCTTTTTTGGTCGTGTCAGCTGTCTTCACTCCGACCGCGGGGGTGAGTTTCGCTCCGGCATTCTCGCTGGATTCTGTCGCGAGCAGGGCATTCGTCAGTCCTGGACGCTTCCAGAGTCCCCGCAGCAGAATGGGGTTGCTGAGCGCCGCATAGGCTTGGTCATGGAGATCGCCCGCACCTCCCTGACTCACGCCCGTGCCCCCCATTTTCTGTGGCCTTACGCGGTTCGGTACGCCGCGCACCAGCTGAACCTCTGGCCACGCGTCTCTCGGCCAGAGGCTTCACCGACCAGTCTTTGGACCGGGTCCCCTGGTGTTGCGTCGAGGTTTCGTGTCTGGGGTTGCTTGGCTCTTGTCCGCGACACCTCTGCGGACAAGCTCTCGCCTCGCGCCGTCCCCTGTGTCTTCCTTGGTTTCCCTGAGGACTCCTCTGACTTCACCTTTTACCACCCTCCCTCTCACCGGTTCTTTGACTCCCGTGACGTCCGTTTCGAGGAGTCCACCCCGTACTTCGTCAGGCACCCCAGTCAAGGTCTCCCGGTTCCTCCTCCCCCCCTCTTCCTGACTGCCGCTCCCCCTCCTGCTCCCCCGGTACAGCCTCCCCCCCCTGGTCCAGCCCCGTCCGGTGTGTCCCAGGCTACCCCTCCTCCTTCGGTAGCCCCTCCGGTACAGCCTCCCTCCCCACAGTCCTCCTCGCAGCGTGCCGCAGGTGCTAGCTCTCGAGAGGTTGGTGCCGAGCCTGTTCCTGTACCGGTTTCTGGTTCTGGGGGTGCTGGAGTTGGAGCTGAGCCGGTGGGTGCAGAGGACTCTTGTCTTCCGGGAGCTGGTGCTGGTCGCGCGGACACTGGAGGTGCTCCGTCTGGGGGTGAGGGTGCGCCTCCTTCAGGTTCTGGTGAGCCTGGGTCTGGAGCTGGTGTTAGTGCTGCCTCTGGGGGTGGTGTGCCTGGTCCTTCGGGGGTGGACTCTGGAGCTGCCGCTGCTCCGGACACTACTCCGCCCCCCCACCCCTACCCGACTAGGCACCAGGCTCGTGTTCGCCGTGCCCGTGAGGAGCAGCTGGAGTTACAGCGGCTGGAGGAGCAGCAGCAGCAGCAGCTGGAGCCGCAGGAGCAGCAGCAGCAGCAGCAGCAGCAGTAGCAGCAGCAGCAGCAGCAGCAGCTGGAGCCGCAGGAGCAGCAGTCCCAGCAGCAGGTGCAGCCGCAGCAGCAGCACACAGCAGCAGCAGCAGCAGCAGCCACTTCCTCCTCCTGTCTCGGGTCTTCGGACCCTTGGTCTCCCCTCTCCTTCTCCTCCCTCCCCCGCCTCTCCTCCTGTCTCCGGTCCCACGTTTCCTCCTTCTGACTCCTCCCCCGCTGTTTTCCCCAGTTCTCCGCCTTTGTCCTCTCCTCCTCCGTCTCGTACTTGGGCTACTCGTCGCTCTCCTCGTGCTCGTCCCTCGTCCCCTGTTCCTTTCACTGACCTTCGTACTGTCTTGTTACGTTCTAGTCCGTCTCGCTCTGATACCATGTTAAAATCGGAAGTGTTGTTTCATTGATGGTGGTTGGGGTACAAGTAGCAAACCCTAACATACGTACCCCCTAAGACACATCTCACTACAGGCTACCAACATTTGACACACCCTGCGCTGGTATGTGAAGGCAAAGTATATTAATTAAAACAAAGAAATACAAAGCTTTTTTAAGAGTATAAGGAATATGAAGAGATACAGTTAATAATTGTTTTATTGTTGCCGTTGCGGTTTGATACTGTGACAACTCGGGCAACTGCTCTGTAATGAGTCAATTGTTTGTCCTTGCTGTCGCGCTGTACTTGTCTGTGTCACAATCCCAGCCACTAACCACTGGGATAAAAGGGCTTGTTTATATAGCGGGTGAGTGCGCCCATAGCCCCCCAGGCCGACGTGCCTGTAACCCTTCCCTAGGATCATCGGGGATCTCCAGTGGACCTCTGACACCCTCCCGCACTGGGATGCCCGAAGTGCACACACCGGGAATCGAACCCGAGACCTTCGCTCTGATACCATGTCAGAATCCCAGCCACTAACCACTGGGATAAAAGGGCTTGTTTATATAGCGGGTGAGTGCGCCCATAACCCTCCAGGCCGACGTGCCTGTAACCCTTCCCTAGGATCATCGGGGATCTCCAGTGGACCTCTGACAGTCAGGTCAAAGGTCGCTAACTTTTGACTTTCCCGTAACCTCCAGCAGTTACTTTCAACCTCCGAGGGTTGACTCGCCGATGCTTCGTTGTGTTTCACTTCGTTTACTACTTAGTGTTTCGACACGACAGAGGCGCTTACATCACTTGTTTTAAACACCCCCCTTCGCTTTTGGAGTGTCGCTGCTGGTGACGTGGCCTTGTCCTTCTTCCAGTAGTTCGCGAAGGTACAGCCCTTCCTTGGTGGTTGAGCAGAGTGCGTTATATTCTGCTACAGCTCAGGAGAGGGCGATTAACTCCCGCTTGCTCGACTGCCACAAGATGGGCCCGATAGGTCGAGTCGGTAGACGTAGCCGGTGCACGAGCGCCTGTCGTCAGAATCGCCAGCGTGGTCAGCGTCGACGTAGCCGATTAGCTTAGGTGTCGCTGTTCCGTTCTTGTAATAAGTTAAGCCGATTGTCGGGGTACTGACGAGGTAGCAATGTCGAGAGAGTTAGGCAAGGTTGAGTTCGACTATCGAGAAGTTTGGTACAAAAGGTAACCCTAAGGAAATGTACCTCATACTATCTACCCCACTACAGCCTACCAAGAACAATAATAACACACATATATGTTTGACACACCCCCATAGGCAAAGTGGGGGAGAGCCAGAGGTCACAAGACCAGTCAAAGCAAAGCAAGCTCAGGGTGGATCACAACGTCACCACACACTCTGAGCACAAGCAAAGGGCCACAAGGCCAGTTCACATGCAGAGATATACATGCAGCTATAATAGTACAGTGATGACTATCTAGCAAGAGCCAGCAAGCAGGTATATATATAGATCACAGTACAAGCAAGGACTACAGCAAGTGTGGAAACGTAGGTACAAGGCCTAACAGGGTACAGAAGCGCTGATGATCACCAGACGGAAGTGCCTTGGTGAATATATCAGCAGTGTTGGCCCGAATGGCCACGTGACGAATACGAAGCTGGCCTTGCTGCTGGAATGTCAGAATATTATGCTCTAGCCTGCAGTGGGGTGCTCTATAGCGAGTACAACCCTTCTAGGGTTAGCTATTTGTACCACCATTGTTGCTAGTGCAAACCCTCTCCTTTCTTCATTCTTACTTTCTACAGCTAGTTCTGACATGGTATCAGAGCAGGTCGACCCTCCTGGGTCGATCCTGTGGGTGGGCCCACCACCTAATGCTTCCGCTGCTTTACTTCCTGCCGGGCGCCTCGGGCGCGCGACGACTTCTTCCTGCCGAATTTTTTCTAGGGTTTCGGCGGTTTTCATCCCGCCGTGCGCTCGGGGCGCGCGGCGGTTTTCTGCACGCCGTGCGCCCCGAGGCGCGCGGCGGTTTCCCACCGTCGAAGTGCCCCCCGTCGCCCGTCGAAGCGCCCTCCCCCCGTCGCCCGTCGAAGCGCCCCCGTCGCCCGTCGGAGCGCCCCCCGTCGCCCGCCAAAACGCCCCCGTATGGGCTGCGCCAGGCCCGCGCGCGGCCCGTACAGCCCGCGCGCGGCCCGTACGGGCGGCGCCAGGCCCGCGCGCGGCCCGTACGGGCTGCGCCAGGCCAGCGCGCGGCGCGGGCAGCCTGCGCGCGCCTCGTCCGTCCCCCTCTCGCCGTCCCCCGCGCTCCTGCCCCTATCCCACCCGTTTTAGGGTTTGGGGATGTAGAGTGTGGGGGTGGCGGGTGTGGGGGTGCCGGTTGTGTGCCCCGTCCCCTCCTTCTCCTCCTCCTCCGTCTCCCGCTGCTGCAGCTGCCGCTCAGGGGGGTGGTTGTGTGGGGAGCCGAAGGAGTGGTCCTAGGGGGGTGAAGGGGGAGTGGAGCTAGGGGCGCAGCAGGGGGTGTGTGTCGAGGGGTGTGGGACTGTTGGGGGAGGTTGAGCGGAGGTTGCCGTCGTGTCGTACGCAGCGCCTGTACTCCGGGGCACTCATTCCCGGTAGCTCAGAGAGCCGGTTGCGCCGTCGCCTGTGGGTCCGTTGCTCCTGCCGCGCATATTAGCCGCGGAGCCTGTTACTCCTGTACTCCGGGGCACTCATTCCCGGTAGCCACGTTGTCGCACCAGAGCCGTCTGTTGCCCGTGTGTCTGCATCTTCAGTCGTCGCCTCCTATCTACTCTCCTCTCACCAGCCCTCCTCCTCCTCACTTGCCCCCTGTGACTGCCTCTAGCTTTGCTCATAATTGTGAACCTTAAACTATTGCTTCTTGCTTGTGCTCAGAATGTGTGGTGACATCGTGATCCACCCTGAGCTTGTACTACTTTGCTTGCTCTGCTGATTACACCCCACTTTGACTATGGGGGTGTGTCAGAATATTATGCTCTAGCCTGCAGTGGGGTGCTCTATAGCGAGTACAACCCTTCTAGGGTTAGCTATTTGTACCACCATTGTTGCTAGTGCAAACCCTCTCCTTTCTTCATTCTTACTTTCTACAGCTAGTTCTGACATGCAACTCTCGAGCCAGGAAGTAACGCAGAGCGATGTGCTTCGTTCTGTGCTCCAGTCTGTGCTCCTCACACAAGGCAATAGCTGCCTTGTTGTCAACGTACAGAACTGGAGGAGAACGAGGCCGCTCACCCAAGTCAGTCAGCAGGTAGGTGAGCCAGCATAGCTCCTGTGCAGCCATGGCGGTGGCGTAGATCTCAGCCTCACAACTGGAGCTGAGAACAGAAGACGAGCGTGTAGACCGCCAAGAGACAGAGCCAGAGCCAAGGCTGAAGGTGTAACCCTGTGACGACCGCTGTGTAGTCTGGTCGTCAACCCAAGACGCGTCTGAGTGCCCAGTGAGGACCACCTCACTCCGTCCTCCAAGCACGAGCCCCATGCCCGATGTACTGCACAGGTAGCGCAGTACCCTCTTAGCAGCAGCCATGTGCTCTGGTCGGTGCCTACCAGGAGCCACATAGCGAGCGAGAAGGCCAAGAGGGTACGCAAGGTCAGGACGAGTGCAGGTCATCATGTACATGAGGCAGCCCACTAGCTCTGGGTAAGGACCACTCGGCTCTATGGACTCGTCCGAAGGTGGAGCTGAGAGCGAGTGACCTGTAGCCAGAGGAGTGTGCTGTGGCGAGGACCAGGTGAAGCCGAAGCGCTGAAGGACCTGCTGCACCATGTGTGACTGAGTCAGTGTGATGGTGCGGCGTGCTCTGTCCCGAGTGATCTGCAAGCCAAGGTAACTGCGCAGCTCACCCAAGTCTGTGCACGTGTGTCTCTTCTGCAGCTCCGACTTCACCAAGGCGAGAGCCTTAGTGTCAGCAGTGGCAAAGACCAAGTCGTCGATGTACACGAGGATGTAGAACGGCGGCAGGGAAGTGTCGGTGCGCAGGAACAGTGACGGGTCAGCAGTCAAAGGAGCGAACCCAAGAGCCGCAAGTGTAGTTCTCAGTGTGTCGTGCCACTCACGAGGCGCCTGGCGGAGACCGTAGACTGGCCGCCGGAGGCTCCACTGGGTACCAGGAGGGAACGACCCAGTGAAGCCAGGTGGGCGGCGCAGCCAGATCTCCTCGTGCAGGCTGCCCTGTAAGAAGGCTGTGCTGAAGTCAAGAGAGTGAAGCTCGTAGTCACGCTGAGCGGCAACGTGCAGCAGCACCCGAAGAGTGGTCATCTTCGGGGTGGGGGAGAAGGTATGGAAGAAGTCAACTCCCTCTCGCTGACTGAAGCCTCTAGCAACGTAACGAGCCTTGAAGACAGGCGGAGAACCCGGCGGCCGCTTCACCCTGAAAATCCACATGCCATCGACGATGTTCGCCCCAGGAGGGGGAACCTCATCGACGTAAGTGCCTGTGGACTTCCAGGATGCCATCTCTGCGTCCATGGCTGTCTCCCACTGAGAGGAGTACTCACCCGCGATCGCCTCAGCGTAAGAGCGCGGGGTCGGGATGTCTGGTGCATCCGGGTCTCCCTCAGGGGCAAGCAGCATGGCCACGAGATGAGGCGCAGCGGCCGCAAGACACTCAAGGTCCTCGTGCCTGTCCTCAAGGACGTCCGTGCTAAGAGCACACTCACCCCCGACGGACGGAGGACAGACAGACTCAGACTCAGCAACAAGACTGGCAGCGAAGTCTAGACGACAGGCAGCAGCAAAGTCAACAAGCTCAGCGACAAGAGCAGACGCAGCAGTAGACTCAAACGACGGGTCAGTGACAACAGTGGCTAGCAGACGCGTGACAGTAGGGTGCTCAGCACGATACCGGTCAGACTCAGGGTCCGGAACGGCAGGCAGAGAGGACGCAGGAGGAGACGGCAGAGGAACAGGCTGCGGAGCAGAGGAAGGACGACGGACAACGAGGTGTGCGCTGGGGACAGCCGGCTGACGCGAACGAGGAACACGACGACCGGTACGACCAGGACGAACAGGCGAGACAGGACACGACGCAGGCTCACGACGCTCAGCAGGACTACCTGTCTGCTCAGTGTAAGGAGAGGGAGCAGGCAGCGGTGAGCCAGGCTGTAACGGAAGACCAGTAGACGACGGGAGAGTAACAACCTGACGAAGAGCAGAGTCAGGCGGCGGCAGAGACGACGGAGACGGCGGAGTGAAGAACAGTCGTGTCGGCGCAGCTGCACCAGTACCGGTAGCTCCAGCAGCTCCAGTACCTCCAGCAGCTCCAGCACCTCCAGCAGCTCCAGAAGCTCCAGCCCCAGAACCGACACCTCCAGTCCCAGGGTCTCCAACCTCAGTGTCTCCAGCAGCAGCACCCCCAGAACCAGCACCTCCAGTCCCAGGGTCTCCAGTCTCAGTGTCTCCAGCAGCAGCACCTCCAGACGCAGCACCCCCAGCCCCAGCAGCTCCAGTACCTCCAGTACGAGCACCTCCGGAACCAGCGACTCCAGCACCTCTAGTAGACAAAGGACCAGCACCACTCCTAGCTCCAGGGACGTCAGCAGAAGTACCTCCAGCAGCAGAGCCCCGGGCTCCAGCAGCGCGACGCTGACGGCGACCGTACCAGTCCTGCAGCTGCTGTGGGGTGAGAGGCACACGCGGACGAAGGCGGCTACTCCAAGGAGACCGCGCAACAGTAGACTCAGAACCCTCAGCGCCAGCACCCCCAACTGCTCCAGAACCTCCAGCTCCAGCACCCTCAGCAGCTCCAGAACCTCCAGGCGAAGTACCTCCAGGCTCCTCACGCGTAGGCTCAGTACCCTCAGACTCCGCACCTCTAGGCTCAGCAACCCCAGGCTCCTCTCGCACAGGCTCCGCACCCTTAGACTCGGCACCCCCAAGCTCAGCACCTCCAGGCTCCTCACGCGCAGGCACAGCACCCCCAGACTCCGCACCCCCAGGCTCAGTACCTCCAGGCTCCTCTCGCTCAGGCTCCGCACCCCCAGGCTCAGCACCCCCAAAGACAGCACTGTCAGAAGAACTGAGCAGGAATGATTGAACTAACAGAGAAATCAGTACAAATAGCAAACCCTAGAATTGTGTACCCCATATAGGCTAACCCACTGTAGCCTAACAAACACAACATATATAATGTTCGACACACCCCCATAGGCAAAGTGGGGGAGAAGTAGGGGACACAAGACCAGTCAAGGTAAGACAAGCTCAGGGTGGATCTCGAGGATTCCACACAAATTCCGAGCACAAGCAAGTGGTCACAAGACCAGTTCACATACAGGTTTATACTAGAGCAAGAGGTACAATGATCACAACCTAGCAAGAGTAAACATGCAGGTATATATATATATAGAGATCACAGTACACACAGAGTCAAGAAGTAAGCAGGTGAGGTCCAGTAGGCACAAGGCCTAGAAGAGTGCAAAAACGCTGATGGTCACAAGGCTGAAGCGCCTTGGTGAACACATCAGCAGTGTTGGCCTCAGTGGCCACGTAACGCAGACGAAGCTGGCCGCGCTGCTGCAGCTCTCGAGCAAGGAAGTACCGCAGGGCGATGTGCTTCGTTCTGTGCTCCAGTCTGTGCTCCTCACACAAGGCAATGGCAGCCTTATTGTCGACGTACAGCACTGGAGGAGAACGAAGCCGCTCTCCCAAGTCGGTCAGCAGGTAGGTCAGCCAGCGGAGCTCCTGGGCCGCCATGGCTGTGGCGTAGGTCTCAGCCTCACAACTGGAGCTGAGAACAGAAGAAGAGCGTGTAGAACGCCAGGAAACTGAGCCAGAGCCAAGGCTGAAGGTGTAACCCTGAGACGACCGCTGAGTAGCCTGGTCGTCCGCCCAAGAAGCGTCTGAGTGTCCAGTGAGTACAACTCGGTCTCGCCCTCCAAGCACTAGCCCCATGCCCGACGTACTGCACAAGTAGCGCAACACCCTCTTAGCGGCATCCATGTGCTCCTTCCGGTGACGGCCAGGAGCGACATAGCGTGCAAGGATGCTAAGAGGGTATGCCAGGTCAGGTCGAGTGCAGGTCATCAGGTACATGAGGCAGCCCACAAGCTCTGGATACGGGCCACTCGGCTCTACGGACTCATCCGAAGGCAGAGCTGAGAGCGAGTGACCAGTAGGCAGAGGAGTGGACTGAGGCGAGGAGTACGTGAAGCGGAAGCGCTGAAGGATCTGCTGCACCATGTGTGACTGAGTCAAGGTGATGGTGCGCCGTGCTCTGTCCCGGGTGATCCGCAAGCCAAGATAGCTTGTCAGTTCACCCAGGTCTGTGCACGTGTGTCTCCTCTGCAGCTCCGACTTCACGTGTCGAGTGCCGCAGTGTCAGCAGTGGCAAAGACCAAGTCGTCGACGTACACGAGGATGTAGAACGGCGGCAGCGAGGTGTCGGTGCGTAGAAACAGTGATGGGTCAGCAGTAGAGGGAGCGAACCCAAGAGCCGCAAGTGTCGTCCTCAGTGTGTCGTGCCACTCACGCGGTGCTTGGTGGAGACCGTAGACTGGCCGCTGGAGCCTCCACTGGGTACCAGGAGGAACCGACCCAGTGAAGCCAGGAGGGCGACGCAGCCAGATCTCCTCGTGCAGGCTGCCCTGTAAGAAAGCAGTGCTGAAGTCAAGTGAGTGAAGCTCGTAGTCGCGCTGAGCGGCTATGTGTAGCAGCACCCGAAGAGTGGTCATCTTCGGGGTGGGGGAGCGGTACAAAGTATGGTCGCGGCCGTGCAGCGTCTCCAGAACCAGCAGAGACACCAGCGCCAGGGTCCTCAGTACCAGCAGCAGCTCCACCGCCCGGGTCCTCAGCACCAGCAGTAGCTCCACCACCCGGGTCCGCAGCACCAGCAGCGTCTCCACCGTGCGGGTCCTTAGCACCAGCAGCAGCTCCACCGCTCGAGTCCTCAGCACCAGCAGCAGCTCCACCGCTCGGGTCCTCAGCACCAGCAGCAGCTCCAACGCCCGGGTCCTCAGCACCAGCAGCAGCTCCACCGCTCAGGTCCTCAGCACCAGCAGCAGCTCCACCGCTCGGGTCCTCAGCACCAGCAGCAGCTCCAACGCCCGGGTCCTCAGCACCAGTAGCAGCGCCACCCCCAGGGTCCGCAGCACCAGGAGCTCCACTCCGAAGACTGCAGCGCCGCGTGTACCACTCTCGGATCTGCTGAAGGGAGGGGAGCTCCTGGGTAGGAGGGGAAGTACTGGTACTAGCTCCAGCAGCACCTCTCCGGAGGCGGCAGTACTGTAGGTACCTCTCCTGTAGCTGCTGGGAGGAGAGGGCTCCTCCAGGTGTAGCACGCTCAGGCTCAGCACCTCCAGACGCAGCACCCCCAGACTCAGCACCCCCAGGCTCAGCACCTCCAGACTCCGCACCTCCAGGCTCCGCACCCCCAGGCTCCGCACCCCCAGACTCAGCACTCCCAGGCTCAGCACCCCTAGAAGCAGCACCCCTAGGCTCAGCACCCCCAGGCTCAGCACCCCTAGCAGGACGAGAGTCAACAGCTACCTCGACAGGCTCACCCGGGTCTACTTGGGACACACCTGAGGGAGCGGCACCCTGAGGGGGGAGGGGGTCTGGTACCTCAGCACCTGGAGCGAGGAAGAGAGGCGGGGGGGGGGAGTGGGGCAGTGCGGTAGGGGAAGAGGTGGTAGTAGGGGACGGACTCGTCAAAAGTGACGTCCTGAGAGGCCAGGACACGACGCGAGGTGGCGTGGTAGAACTGCCAACCAGGGGCGTCCGGGACAAAGCCAAGGAAGACACAAGGGACAGCGCGACGGGAGAGCTTGTCCGCGGACGTGTCGCGAACAAAAGCTCGGGATCCCCAGACCCGAAAACGCGACGCATCGCCAGCCTCTCCCGTCCAACGCAGTGTCGGAGAAGTCTCCGGGAGGGAGACTCGGGGCCAGAGGTTGAGCTGATGTGCAGCGTATCGGACTGCAAACGGCCACAGAAAGTGGGGGGCAGCCGCATGAACCAGGGAGGTACGAGCGACCTCCATGACCAAGCCAATGCGGCGCTCAGCAACCCCATTCTGCTATGGAGAGGCCGGAAGCGTGAACGACTGCTCAATGCCCTCCTGCTGACAGAAGGCCTCCAAGAGGCCGGAGGAAAACTCCCCACCTCTGTCAGAGTGCAGACGCAGGACAGGGAAGTCGGAGTGGAAACGCTTGCTGAGCTGGAGACGAGATCTGCGGATCCAAGGGATCAAGACATCAGGGACCTCACCCTTGGTGCGCAAGGGGAAGACCGTGGTGTAGCGCGAGAAGTCGTCAACAACAATCAGGAAGTACCTCTCCTGACCCTGTCCACGGACGCGGGCTGGGCCCCACACGTCCAAGTGGAGCGTCTGCAAGGGAGCAGTCGTCGGGGGAAACGAGGAGGAGTGAGGAGCGGCGCGCTGCCGTCCCTCGACACAGGGAAGACAGGGAGGAGCAGGCGAGGGTGGGAGGGGAGGGAGAACCCTGGGAAGACCAGCAACAAGGTCCTGTTTGTGCATGGCCCGAAGGCGCTGCACAGACGGGTGACCAAGGCGGTGGTGCCAGAGGACAGTCTCATGCGCCAGAGAGCGACACGAGCAGGGGGCGGACAGCTGACCTGACGCAGACGCAGACGCAGACGCAGCTACCTGAGGGGACTCAGTGGTCAGTGTGTACAGGTCCGACCCCGGCTGTCGAGTGAAGGTAGCCAGGTGGCGGCCCGTCCGAGCACACGTGCAGTGTGTCACGCGCTCGTAGGCAGGGGTGAACTGGTGAACACCCCCGTCCTGGAGCGCACGACCTGCCACCAAGTTCGTAGAGAATGAGGGGAGGTAGAGACCTGACAGTGTGCCTGACGGGACCGCAGGACAAGGAAGGACAGTGGAGGAGGTCGCAATGACCGGACCCCCAGAGGGGTCAGCGAGGGAGACAGCAACTGGCCGAGCGAGTGGCTCAAGGACAGTGCGGTCACGAAAGAAACAGCGAGAAGCACCTGAGTCCAGTGTGAAGGTGTGCAGTGCTGCAGTCGACTCAGTACCAGGGGGCACAGACTCACGAGCACCTAGAGCAGCAGCCTCACCAGGACCTGGGGCAGCAGACTCACTAGCACCTAGAGCGGCAGTCGGACTGGTCAGAATGCCCGGGTCGGGCGGAACACGCAAGTACTGAGCACCCTCTCCACTAGTAAACATCGCATACATGGCAGTGATAATAGCATCAAAGTCTAGAGCCCAGATATCAACTCCCTTCCTCTCCAGCTCAGCCCAGTGGGGCAGTTCAGTGGCATCAGGAAACTGGGCGCGCCAAGCATCGGTAAGGTGCGAGAAACAGCGCTGCGTGGGGTGCGGCCTCCCACACGTCTGGCCAGTGCGGTCACCAGTGCGGATGACGTACGTGCAGGTAAAGCCACCCGCCCCCCCCCGCTGCGAATACCACTCACGGGCCTCCTGGAGCGACGGGGGGTGCTGCTGGCTCTGGCCACCGCCAGCGCCTCCACGACCACCACGACCACCACCGCCGCCGCCACCGCCTCGGCCACCTCCACCCCTGCCGCCGCCACGACCACCTCCGCCTCCGCTGCCGCCTCCGCCCCTGCCACCGCTCCCGCCGCTGCTGTCACCACCCCCACTGCCGCCACTAGCCTCTCCAGCCCCACCTCCACCCCCACCGCCACCACCCCCGCCTCCCCCTCCGCCACCTCCACCCTTGCCCCCCTTGCTCCTGCGGCGCCCGCTCGGAGCAGACGCGGTCCCGACCTTCTCAGCACCAAGGAGGTCGACAGCAGCAGCAGAGGCTACAGAGGGGAGAAGGGGGGAAGGGGAACACCCCTCAAAGAACGGGGTGCGGGGGTCGCCACGAGAGGCACCTACAGCGACGATGCTCGCCTCAGCTGCAAGGAGTTCCTTCTCGAGGAGGGCAATGGTGAGCTCAGTGGGGGAGCGAGCGAGGAAGTGGTCCCTGACTGCGCGCAGAGAGTCAGGGAGGCGGGTGACGATGTGGTAGAGAGTGATCCAGAGCGGGGGGGGATTGCTAGCAAGGAACTCGTCAGGCATAGCAGCGCGAAAGCGGGCCTCACTAGTCTTGAGGTGGGTGATGAGGTCAGCAACTGTGTGAAAGGAGGCCAGGTCGGGGA